ATTACACTTACAGTTACAATAAATCTTCAAACAAAATAGAAGTTAAAAACACGCAGTTACGGTGGGTAGTACGATATGAACAATATATTTTATCAAAAGTATCCCAGACCATAGCCAGAAAAAGAAGTAAGTATTGCACAACTTGATAAGTCTTTTATTTAATCATTACCGGTATTCTGGTCGCACTTTAGTAATATTGTCACGGGGGAGGAAGTGTTACACGAAGGATGGAGTTCTTATGATAACTTGTTCAGGAGTTCTTGTGATAACTGTAACGGAGTTCGTCGGAAAACATCTGTATATACTACAAAAATACTCGTTAAAATGATTATTTTTATCTTTTCAAAATGAGTTTTAGATGCTGAATTAAACTTTAATGATTAAGCTTGTCTTACATCTTGTATTATGTGTCAAAAACTAAATCACAGGCTATTTTTCATCGCCTCTGCTTCAAATCTGGTAGTTTTTAGTAAAATTTCCAAATTATTTGCCAATTCAAAAGTATTGACCTGTTTATTTCTGGTCTTCATCCTTGCCATACATAATTACCTTATTATAATGCAAAATTGCAAACATAAAGCACCGGCTAACAGATTTTTCAAATGTCCCGGAGTTCTTGTGATAACACTGAAGATGCCACAGAGTTCTTATGATAACTTTAGTTGATTTGCCAGTGGTGTTTCTTGCGCCTAAATCACGGGCACGTTTTAGCGGTTTTTTTATTATTCAATGAGATTGTAATCATTATGAAATGTAGTACGGCTCATCCATTGCGCAAAAAAATAGGATATATAATGTTGGTTTTGAGTGAATTTTAGTTCTAGAGATATTATTTCTTAAACCCCCTTTTTCTTTTTCATAGTATTTTTTTGTTTGATGCAGATTTCGTAGACTGGAAAAAGGATTTATGTTACTGTTTTCTAGCAGTTTTCCGGCCCCTAGTAGTTTTCTGGCCCTTTATCATTTTCATCCAGACAATACAGTCTATTTTTTCTCAGATCTATATGACTGCATCAATCAGAGAAACCATTTGTTTTCTATGTAATACAGCAGTTATAATAGTGTACAGCGATTAATATGTTTCAAAGTTTTTGTCTGTTGTTTTTTAAGTTACATTAGAGAACTTGCGCACTTACAAGCAACACCTGGGGGAAAATTCTGGTTTGAATGCCCCATACACAATAACTGAAATCCCATTCTAGGTAAATCTGGAACCTGGAGGGACAGTTCAATGTTTTTTCGAGAGATCGGTAGTAAAGAGCCAACCGCAGTTGAGTTTTTATCACGTATCGTACTTTTTTAAGACATAGGTGTGGAAATTTATTCTGGTTTATATACTTATTTATTATGGTATAAAATGATACAAATTACTTAGCCCTTAGGTAAGGGAAAGCATTGCGTATATATTGTCTGCTTTAAGAAAGGTGGTTGCTTAAAACTTGTGAAACTGAGAACAACGTGTACGTTTTGAGACATTTTTTGTTTTGTGACTGTGAATACTAGTATCAGTGGCCCCTAGTTCAATTTTACTGTAGATGATAGCCTATCACCTATTTATCATTTGCAGACACTTCAAAGACCAACGTTTTTGTTCCACATTTGTGCAAAGGATTTGATCGTACTGCATTTCATAATGATTTACAATCTTATTGAATGATAATAAACGCCAAAACGTGCCGTGATTTAGCGCAAGAAACACCACTGGCAATAACAAAAGTTATCATAAGAACTCTGTGACATCTTCAGTGTTATCACAAGAACTCCGGGACATTTTGAAAAATCGGGTATAAATCTGTTAGCCGGTGCTTTATGTTTGCAATTTTGCATTATAATTAGGTAATTATGTATGGCATGGATGAAGACCAGAAATAAACAGGTCAATATTTGTGAATAGGCAAATAATTTGGAAATTTTACTCAAAACTACCAGATTTGAAGCAAGAGGCGATGAAAAATAGCCTGTGAATTAGTTTTTGACACAAAATGCAAGATGTAAGACAAGCTTAATCATTTAAGTTTAATTTAGCACCTAAAACTCATTTTGGAAAGATGAAAATAACCATTTTACTGAGTGTTTTGTAGTATATACAGATTTTTTCCGACGAACTCCGTGACAGTTATCACAAGAACTCCATCCTTCGTGTAACACTTCCTCCCCCGTGATTGTGACGATTTTAATAAACTGTAGTTGCGGCAACAGTATAGAAGCATATGACTGTTATCGTTCTGTTTTGTTGAAGCCGGTGTGTGCTATCAGCATGCTCATACTTCAAGGAAATAAATTAGGACAAAGTATCCCAACACTTTTCATCACAAAAGACATTATTATTTATCTTTAATACAACTTAGATAAATGTTCATTATTAAGAATGCTGCAAGACACATTGCAATACATATGAATATGAAATCTTCTGAATACATGAAAAATACGCAAGTAATATAAATCAATGTGTTTGTTCTTTAAACAATTGTAAAATCGAACATTATTGTAACTATATAAATAAAAAGATCTATAATATATGTATAAAGGAATATTACAGAGTTAAAAATAGTTTCATATAAAAGATATGGCAGAAAAGATGAACAATGGTGAGCAGTATTTACGGAATTCAGTCCCGCCGAATATCTTGTCATACAAAATAAATCAAAATGTACCCAGTGGGGCACCGGTTCTCAAGTTTTCGGTTAAATGCTCTAACAATGCTGCCTGTCAACATTTTATTAATATGGACGCAGAGAAATCAAAAATTATTGCAGCTTGTTTTTTTTTCTTCTTTGTTTGTTTCCTTACTTGTCACAGATCTGTCGTACCTGCATTGTTTTGAAATAGATGAACACTAAACAATCCATGTCGAAGATTAAATTGTTATATTAATTCAATTTATGTCTCCTTCGGAAACTTTGCGATACTGTTTGGAATCGCACATTTTTAAAATTCAAAAGACGTGGTCAATTTTTGTTATCTTTTCATACTGTTATTATTATCATTATTATTTTTGTTTTTAGCTCACCTGAGCATATGCTCAAGGTGAGCTTTTCAAACGACATCTCCTCTGAAACCATAAGGCAGATCATAATGAAACTTCTCAGGGATGTTCCATGTGTGAAGCCTTAACAAAGTTGTTCAAAGATTTCCATTCCATGCAGAACTCTGGTTGCCATGGCAACCAAAAGAAAAAACTTTAAACATCTTCTTCTAAAAAACCCAAAGAGCTAGAGCTTAGATATTTGGCATGAAACATCTTCTAGTGAGTGTCTACCAAGTTTGTTCAAATAAAAGCCCTGGGGTCAAAATTGGGCCCGCCTTAGGGGGTCATTGATTTTCCCTATATGCATATAGTAAAAACTTTAAAAAATCTTCTTTTAAAGAACCCAAAGAGCCAGAGCTAAGATATTTAGCATGAAACATCTTATAATGGGTATCTACCAAGTTTGTTTAAATAAAAGCCCTGGGGTCAAAATTGGGCCCGCCTTAGGGGGTCACTGATATTCCCTATATGCATATAGTAAAAACTTTAAAAATCTTCTATTAAAGAACCCAAAGAGCTAGAGCTAAGATATTTAGCATGAAACATCTTCTAATGGGTGTCTACCAAGTTTGTTCAAATAAAAGCCCTGGGTCAAAATTGGCCCGCCCCAGGGGGTCATTGATTTTCCCTATATGCATATAGTAAAAACTTCAAAAATCTTCTTCTAAAAACCCCAAAGCACTAGAGCTTAGATATTTGGCATAAAACATGTTCTAATTAATGTCTACCAAGTTTGTTCAAATAAAAGCCCTGGGGTCAAAATTGGCCCCGCCCCAGGGGGTCATTGATTTTCCCTATATGCATATACTAAAAACTTTTGAAAATCTTCTTTTAAAGAACCCAAAGCACTAGAGCTTAGATATTTAGCATGAAACATCTTCTAATGGGTATCTACCAAGTTTGTTCAAATAAAAGCATTGGGGTCAAAATTGGCCCCTCCCCAGGGGGTCATTGATTTTCCCTATATGCATATAGTAAAAACTTAAAAAATCTTCTTTTGAAGAACCCAAAGAGCTAGAGCTAAGATATTTAGCATGAAACATGTTCTAATGGATGTCTACCAAGTTTGTTTAAATAAGAGCCCTGGGGTCAAAATTGGTCCCGTCCCGGGGGTCATTGATTTTCCTTATATGTGCATAGCAAAACCTTAAAAAATCTTCTTTGAAAAAAACCAAATAGCTAGAGTTTAGATACTAAGCATGAAACATCTTCTAGTGAGTGTCTTCCAAGTTTGTTCAAATAAAAGCCCTGGGGTCAAAAAAAGACCCGCCTCGGGGGTCATTCCTTTTCCTTATATGTGTTATACAAAAACTTTAAAAAATCTTCTTTGAAAAACTCAAATAGCTAGAGTTTAGATATTAAGCAAGAAGCATCTTCTAGTGAGTGTCTCAAGTTTGTTCAAATAAAAGCCCTGGGGTCAAAATTGGCCCCGCCCCGGCTGACATTTATTTTCCTTATATGTGTATAGCAAAAACTTAAAAGTCTTCTTTGAAAAAACCCGAATAGCTAGAGTTTAGATATTAAGCATGAAACATTTTCTAGTAAGTGTCTTCAAAGATTGTTCAAATAAAAGCCCGCCCTGCCCCAGGTGTGTCATTGTTTTTAACTATATGTGTAAAGAAAAAAAACTTGACCAGCTAGACCTTAGATGTTAAGCATGAAATATCTTCTAATGGGTGTCTACCAAGTTTGTTCAAATAAAAGCCATGGGGTTTAAACTGGCCCTGCTCCGGGGGCCTATATACAGGTGAGCGACTTCAGGGCCATTATGGCCCTCTTGTTGTTGGTTTCTTGTTGTTGTTGTTGTTGTTGTTATTGATGATGATGATGATGATGATGATGATGATAATGATGATGATGCCAATCATCATGCTTCATGAAGTAGGAGTTTAACCAAATAAACAATTTTCGTATAAATGCCACTCAAAAGAAATATCTCTAAAGCTAATTATACTCAAGAATGAAAAACATGTTTTGTTGTATAGATTTATTACAACTGTAGAAATTACATTGTATGTAGTTTATACGAATTATTCTGTCATTCAGCCTAGAATAGAGCTTGGTTGTGTGGCAGTCTCGCCTCTTTCTAGAAGAAACATGTCACGACGGGAGCAGTAATTACGTGTATATTCTGGAAGGTTCGGGTCATCATGATATATTCTCGTCTCTGGAAGCTGGCCTACCCATTCTCTCATCATCTTTAACTGGAAATGAAGTTATGTTTAAAATAACGAAACTATAGTATTTCCCTATGCCAAAGATCCTGAATCAAGGTGTTATATAGGATATTTGCCTTACAAGTTTTATACGATTTAATGGTTTCGTTATAAAGTTATAATATCTTGATAAAGCATAAAGATATTATGTCGATGAAATAATTTTATTCCTTTGTTATTTTAGAAACAAGCATAGTGAATTCAATCTTGGGCTTCGTGAAAAGAAAAACAAACGTGTACCAAGATTTTGGCATGTATTTAATATTTTAAATTTCATACTTTGTATTAGATAATGCATGTTTTTGCATGGGACATTTTAATAATTTCAGCATATAACAGCATATAACGTTCAGACTAAACTAAGTATTATAATGTGAACGGAGTCCAGTCATTCTTTGGGGAACAAACATCTGAAGAAGTATAAAATTTACCTCAAGATCCCCAAGTCCTCTGGAGGAGTGGATATGATCTATTTCATCGTGCGTTAACTTGACCAAAAAGCACGTGCTATATGTTCGTGTAATGAAATGACTCTGAAAAAAGTTCGAATGAAGAATAATTTCCCTTCTGTTAATTTTATTGTAAAGCGCTAATATGACAAGTGGCAACAGGATATACGTAAAACATATATAATTGTTATGTATATATGTGTTTGACAATGATATACAAGCTCTTATATTAGCAATGCGCACTAATATTTTAATGCTTTGAGTAATACTACTTACGTTCCTTAGCTATAGGCTTTTGAATAGTACTATGTAGGCTTTTGAATAAAACTATCAAAAATCAATAATTTTACAGACATGTAAATATATACATATATAAGGCACTGTAAATATATACATAAAGTGAGTGTTATAAACTGTGACTAGTACCACTGCTTATCAGCAAAATGACCTGTATATACATAATAGATTTAAAATAGACATGTATTATCTTGGACGCAATGTTAAGGTCACATTTCCGATGATATGCAATTGTTGTGATATGAGTTCATATAATAAATTTTCAACAATAATTTTGGTAATACAATAACGGTTACATCTGAGGTCATTTACAAGGCTAAATTGTCAGTTTATACTTTTACTTAAAAATAAACTGTTAAATGTCCTTATCCTGACTCCATATCAGCAATTCATCCTATGACGTAAGCACATATCATATTTAAAGCACTGTTTGAGAAGATTTTTTTTATCCCAGTAAGTTCATTTTCTTTAGTTCCTTTGGTAAACATGTTTACACTTTTGGCTGATATTTTTGTGATTATTGTTCTGTTTTATTACTATATGGGGTTCTTATATATTTAAATATCTGGAAAAAAATGTAAGCACTACAATCAGCAAAATTAAATTGCAGACTATGTTTGATTCAGTCTGTACATGTTGGATGATAAAAAGTGCAACATCTTACGCACAGGCTTGAACGGCATGCAATCATCATTTGCTGAAATCAATGATCCCGTAGGACATGACAAATATAACAACACTGAAGTAAGGTTGGTACAAATTGCTATTATTATCTTTTTTCATTGATCCAACTTTTGTGCTAAGAGGCCTGTGAGTTGTTCTGTATAACCTTCTTTTCACAGACTCAGTAAAACATTCTGCAGTTGTCATTTATGTAATGTTTTCCTTTTTTGCTGAACAGAAATCTTACATCTTCAGAACAGTAACTTTCACTTAAAGCATTTACAAAGAAAGAATGGTTTGTTAAATTTTAACTTGAGAGATGAATCGACTTACGAGAGTAGGTTCAAACATGAAATTTATCTGACTGGACTCCGAGTGATCATAGTAAGGTATGGTTGTATGCGGTGGGTTAGCACCGTTCACATAACATACAAAACTTGCCAACTGAAATTGTAAAAACAAATTACAAATACTGCAATTATGTACGATCACAGTTTCAATATCAAAACATCTTTGAATTAGTGAATTAGTGATTAAATCATTCCATGTATGCACATAATGTACTTTTCATTAGCAAAAGGCATTTTAAGATATTTTTAAAAGATACTCAAGAATAAAAATACATATGTCCTATTTGATGATTTTAGAAATGTTTGAAATAAATTTAGCGTAGTTTCTGACTAACCAATATGCCAAATATTTTGTAAGCCATTTTCATCGGAATAATTCAACTCAATGGTCTTAAAGATGTCTCAAATAATCATATGTACTATACATAGAAACAAAACTTGGTCAAATGATAAGGTGTATCAAAATGAAAGTCAAGGTTTCCTTTTACCACATTACAAACGACAATCTGTTTACTATTATGCAAAGTTTTGAGAAGGCGGCACAGAATTGCCTGACCTAATAAGAGTATATATTAGTTTATATATTCACAATTGACCTTACATTCTTTAAACAACTTGAAGAATATTTGTGATCACTTTAACGCACATATGGGGTCTTCTGTTCAGGTTACTTGTGTCTTATGGGGTATAAAGTTTTATCGTTTAACATCTGTTGATTTTTACGTGACATGATCGGTTTCTGGACCGTCTATTGGTTGTTTCTGTAATGTGCGTAAAACACAATATTCTGGAGCCAACTGCTAAAACATCATTAATTTTGTCTGATTCCCTTGCGAATTCGTTATTGTACAAGTTTGGAGGGCCTCTTTACAGAAATACAACACTCAAAGACCTGGCCCAAGTAAAACATCCATGAGATTTCCCCTTGGCATGGTCAATTATTTGAACGGCGAAGACTATATTTTATTTAAATAGACAATATTCTTGGGTCAACGGCTAAAAGACTATTTGTCTGATTCCGTTGCGGATTCGTTTTTGTACAAGTTTGGAGGGTTTTATTTACAGCAATATAAGGTTCAAAGCCCTAACCCAAGCAAAATGTCCGGGAGATATCCGCTGGCATGGTCGTTTCTTGGACCGGTGATTTGTTCTTTCGGTATATAGTGTATCAATTGGCGTAAAAAACCCACAATATTCTCTCTTCAACTTCTAAACAACGTTTGTCCGACACCTTTGGGATTTCTTTTTTATAATTTTGAAGTGTCTTCTTTTAAGCAATATAATGCCCAAGGCCCTAACGCAAGCAAAATGTCCGGGAGAAATCCGCGCGTGGCATAGTCGTTTGTTTGAACCGGCAATAAGTTCTTTCTGAAATATAAAGTGTCACCAACAATTCGGCGAAAAAAAAAAACGGTTATACCATTTTCCTCGATCTAGACTGCTAAAACGTCATTTGTCTTTTTATTTTGTAATGCGGATTCGTTATTTATAAAAGCTTTTTATATAAGGGCTCAAAGCATCCGAAGGAAAATGGTCGGGAGAGTTCTGCATTGCATGGTCCTTTATAAGGCGACATCAACTGATTATTGAAAACCAAATTTGAAACTGAGATCTAACAGTCAAACCTTGTTAGCTCGAACTCTGAGGTCCTGTACAAAATTTGTTAGTGAGATCGGTAGGTCTCCTTTACAGTATTATATGCAAGGCCCAGTTACTCTTACCAAAAGAATTATCCGGCGGATTTCCGCGTGAACATTAGGCAAAAGGACTTTTTTCTAGTATGTTTTACTTATTTTCCTTTTACTACTCGTTTGTGTTAAGTCCTTTATCATAACCCCTCGAGCAAGGACACGAATGTCAGCCATTGTAAAACACTAAATAGACCTAACGACTATATTAACTTTTAAGGTGTGAAAATTCAATTTATATGTCTAATCAAATGTTTACTAATGTGATAATGTATATATAGGAACTTCCGAAATAAGAGCGGGCCTTTATTACAGGTCAAGGAAAGCTGTTCTTTTCATTAAAAAATTTAGAACATTATATATTTAGTGTGCCCATATATTGTTTAGGTTTTAAAGCTTTTGTATAAAGTCAAAACATGTTGCCTTTTTTTATATTTCTAAAAAGGCTGTGTATCCATTATAGATATATACTTCTGGTTGGAAGTTGGGTTTCACGGGACAAACCAACTGTGTCCTCTGGTCGACGTAGAGTGCTGGGTGATACCATTTGGTAGAATTTATCTATCTCGTCAAATATCTGTTTCTTTTATTCTGAAAAAAAAATTAAGATAAAATTTTAATAAATATTAAACTATTTTGCGTGACTTACGCAGTTAGTTTGGTAATTTACGTGGATTGAAAGTGTTGTTTGCAATATGTTTGAAATATGTAAATTACTTTCATTGTTCACGTGAAAATATTTTAATTTAATTTACACTACATTTTCAAAATCGTCATGAAAATAAGCATGAGTTTGGAAGTTTGCTGCTTTGAAATACATATAGTTTCTCAAACCATGATAAATCATAAACAACAAGTATTTGTTTAAGCTCACTTATTGTCAAAATTAGAACTGGGATTCTATTTAACAGAACATGACTTTTTTTTAGTATGTTTTACTTATTTTCCTTTCTACTCGTTTGTGTTAAGTCCTTTATCATAACCCCTCGAGCAAGGACACGAATGTCAGCCATTGTAAAACACTAAATAGACCTAACGACTATATTACCTTTTAAGGTGTGAAAATTCAATTAATGTCTAATCTAATGTTTACTAATGTGATAATGTATATATAAGAACTTCCAAAATAGATGAAATCAGAGCGGGCGCTGTAGTGCAGTGGTAACACTGTCTGACTACGAGTCTAGGGGTTGCGAGTTCGATCCCCCGCTTCTCCACTAAACTACTAACAATCATTCATATGATAAAATAACACAAATAAAAATAAATTAATAAAAACTACTCAAACACACTGACATGACACACAGATCACTTTCATACACTGGCAGGATACACATAACACTACTTAAACACTGACATACAGGGCACTACTCACACACTGACAAGACACACAGAACACTACTCACACACTGACAGAACACACAGGGCACTACTCACACACTGACAGAACACACAGGGCACTACTCACACACTGACAGGACACACAGGACACTACTCACACACTGACAGAACACACAGAGCACTACTCACACACTGACAGGACACACAGGACACTACTCACACACTGACAGGACACACAGGACACTACTAACACACTGATAGAACAGACAGTGCACTACTCACACACTGATAGAACAGACAGTGCACTACTCACACACTGACAGGACACCCAGGGCACTACTAACACACTGACAGGACACAGGACACTACTAACACAGTGACAGGACACACAGGACACTACTAACACAGTGACAGGACACACAGGACACTACTAACACACTGATAGAACAGACAGTGCACTACTCACACACTGATAGAACAGACAGTGCACTACTCACACACTGACAGGACACCCAGGGCACTACTAACACACTGACAGGACACACAGGACACTACTAACACAGTGACAGGACACACAGGACACTACTAAACACACTGATAGAACAGACAGTGCACTACTCACACACTGACAGAACACACAGGGCACTACTCACACACTGACAGGACACACAAAGCACTACTAACACACTGACAGGACACAGGACACTACTCACACAGTGACAGGACACACAAAGCACTACTAACACAGTGACAGGACACACAGGACACTACTAACACACTGATAGAACAGACAGTGCACTACTCACACACTGACAGGACACACAAAGCACTACTAACACACTGACAGGACACAGGACACTACTAAACACAGTGACAGTACTCACACACAGGACACTACTAACACACTGACAGGACACACAGGACACTACTAACACACTGATAGAACAGACAGTGCACTACTCACACACTGACAGGACACCCAGGGCACTACTCACATACTGACAGGACACACCTCACACACTAACAGGACACACAGGACACACAGGGCACTACTAACACACTAACAGGTCACACAGGACACTACTCGCACACTGACAGGACACACCCGACACTGACAGGACACACAGGACACTACTCACACACTGTCATGACACACAGGACACTACACACACATTGACATATGACACTACTCGAACTGACCTGTCTCACAGGCACTACTCACACACTTACAGAACACACACTAATAACACACTGACTTCGGACACTACTCAAACACTGCCCTGACACAAAGGCATCCACTCACACTGACACCGGATACAACTCAAACATTGTCAACCAAAATATTACTCACACACTGACACAGAACACTGCTAAAAACATGGCCTGACCCCACCGAAGACTACGGACACACAGGACGCTACTCACATGACACTTCTTAAACACTGACACACAGGACACTACTAAAACACAGACACTACTCACACACTGGACACTACTCTAACACTGAAGCAAAAGGCAATACTCACACACTGACCTTACACAGGGCACTAATCACACAATTAACATGACTCACACACTGTCTATCATCATAAAACCCACACAGAGACCATTACTCACAGTCATTGTCATCATCAGTATATACATCATCACTATAAACAATTTGAAATATTGACGTAAAACAAAAGTTAAACATATTTTTTCTAATGTTTCTCGATGCGATTCTGAAACTATGATAAATATAATCTGATGACAATAATTATTTTGACGATAGAGATTATTAAAATTCTTATCTTGTTGATGATGGGGGTGAGCTATATTCGCCGAGAGCTATATGCTGTGTAACACAGTTCGCATGCACCAGCTAATTGTAATTACGGCCAAAGAGATGGCCTCATTCATAGACCGAGTGCATTATAGCTGGGGTAAAAGGATTTTACCTATCTCCGCACTGCGCGATCAATTCGGTGTTTTTTTGACAGTGTGTCGTACATTATTTCTTTGACAATTAAAGTGCATTGTATTTCTGTGCAGGTATCATATATTTAACGTTTAGGGCACATTCTTCTAAGATGTCTCATTGCAAGGGTGAGACGCGGACGGTAGTATATGTTGCCCACTGCCGTTCATAAGGCTCTTCAAACCGATCTTGGCCTTTTTACAATTTTGACGTCTTGGTTGTGTTTTGAATTTATAATAGTTTGTTTCATACGTAAAAATCCATGAGGTTGAGCAACTTCTACGGTACGTAGTTCATTACTACCCGTATATTCAGTCACAAAAATTAGCAAAGGTAAGCAACGCTGCCCGTTACAACATCAAGACACACTGGACTATCGGAAGTGCACCAATCGTGGCACCGAATCACTATTCTTTAATTTGATAGGTATTGTTGAATAAAGAATAACAGCATAATTCTTTCTTGTGTACTAAACATTTTGTTAATATCGCACATATTACATTTACGTTTAAGACAACACTTTATTGCTGAACTATTTTTAACCGTAGTAATTTTCAACGTATCCCCTATGAAAGTATAATTCAAAACGAGAAGAAAAAGTAAAGAAATTTTAAATGACAAAAGTTTACAATTAATAAATTCAAATGAAACAAATACATGGAAAGCTGACATGATCAAGAAAAAGATAGTTCGTGCTGATGTTATTATTTATTACAACTGTAAAATTTCAGCCTAGAATAGAGCTTGGTTGTGTGGCGGTCTCGCCTCTTTCTAGAAGAAACATGTCATGTCGGGAGCAGTAATTACGTGTATAATCTGGAAGGTTCGGGTCATCATGATAGATTCTTGTCTCTGGAAGCTGGCCTACCCATTCTCTCATCATCTTTAACTGAAAATGAAGTCAAGTTAGAATTAATGAAAGAGTATCGTGTATGCAGTGTATCGTTGTATGCATTTATTATAAAAAAAATTGTATTATTTTAAATGGCTACCACAGTCAAAGAGGCTGAAATATCGATGTTATTCTGGGTTTCTCTTATAATCCTTAATTTCCATATTTGTAATGACATTACCGTATTGGCTATAAAATGATGTTTCGATAAAGATCTTCTTTAGAAACAAGCCCGATTATTTTGTGAGCCATATTAAATAGTAACTGTCACGAACGCGTTCCAAATTTTTAGTCATACATGTAATATATGTATACTAAAATTAGATAATGCTTATCACTTTAATAATCTGAAATTTGAAAGACTGCCATAGTCACAAAATACGTCCATCATAAATAATCAATCACATAGTGGTGGATATTTACATTAGAATTCATTTCTCATTTCTATGATGACTAAACACACATTGTATGACCTTAAACATCTGAATGTGACCTTGACCTTGGCTACAGTTACTTTGAACTAGAGATCTGGTTTATGGCAGTGTACATTTGTATCATGTAAATCTCAATAATTGCATGTAGTGTATATCTTACCGACAAAATCATTTTAAATAATCTCTAGTTACTTCGACCTTGACTTTGACCTTGTTTAAATTGACCCGGATTACTAGTATGCTTGTAACATTTATGTGATGATTATTATCATTTGTGATGTACTCCCTCAATTCAAGACAACTTGATGATCCGTACAATTATTTTCATTTTCATCTGACCTTTGACCTCTGCATGTGACCTTACACTAGGTACGTACCAATGACCTTGAATAAGTAAAACACTTTCATTTGGAATATCGTTCATTTCGTTATTCTTTTTTTTTCTCAGCAATTTTCTTTTCTTTTTATTTTATTGTTTCCGTATCTTGGCATTATTCTTTGACCCACAAACACATTCTGTGCGTCATGCCTTAATTGTAACTATAATTAATTGATTTATTACAAACGCTTGAAGAGATTTGAAGATTACCTCAAAATCGCCAAGTCCCCATGAAGTGTGGATATGATCAATTTCATCGTGCGTTAATTGCACCAAAAAGCACGTGCTATATGTTCGTGCAATGAAATGACTCTGAAACAAAAAATTCAAGAAAATATAATGATAAAGATTATCAAGGGGGTTAAAACAAACGAAATATATCAATCTACTGTAGATAGCCTTGTAAACCACAAATTTGTCAGTTAACCAGGGAATATATGAAAACATTGATTCAAGTTTAATGAAAACATCGAGATCATCAGTGACTACTAATTGGCACTAAATATTTTAATCAATCATGACTGACTGGAATTAAAACTAATTGGCCTACAAAAAAAACTTCTTTTCAATTGATTGTAAAGGTTCAAAATTGCCTTGGTACTTTATGGGTTATTCTATTTAATCATTCAAAAATGTTCTAAAACTTTTTGCGCTGATAATTGAAAACTGCATAAGCACGTGCCATGAGCTTTAAGGATTATTACAATCCTTTTAATCTCATGAATAGGTTCAATCAAACCATTTATATAATGTTGTTTTTTTTTTCTTGCAATCCCACGTCTTCAGATGTTTTAAGTTTCTATTTCATCATTTGCAAAGTACGAATAATAGATACAATAAGACTTGAGTTCTGTATCAACTTACTAGACTAGGTTCAAACAAGAAATTTATCTGACTGGACTCTGAGTGGTCATAGTAAGGTATGGTTGTACGTGGTGGGTTTGTGCCATACACATAACATACAAAACCGGCCAACTGAAATTGTAAAGACAAGTTGAAACGTTTTTTCCCCTTTATTTAAGGAAAAAGATTACGGTTGAATTGTTTACTATCACAGCGAAATACTTGTAAGTTCTTTCATTCTACCGGTATGTCAAAATTAGTGAAAGAATAACTCAATATACTTACACAATCAACATATCATTTAACCATATATTTAAGAACAATTGTAAAAGAAACACAAGTAGAAAAATATGAATTATATATGTTTGACTTATTACAACATTTACAAAATTTAATATGGTAACTTTTACGTAATTTTCTGCTTACCAAAATCCCTAATATTTGATGAGCCATTTTTTCTGAATGATGGTAATAGAACTAATTCAACTAAATGCGCTCAAAGATCTCAAAATTTAATCATACTTATTGGCTATTAATAGAAACAAAACTTGGTCAACTGATAAGCTAATTCAAAATTTAAGTCGATTTTCAATTTTCTTTTACTAACGAAAACTAAAAGAAACAAAGTTTTATTTCTAATATACAACATTTGAGAAAAAAGACCGTTACAAGAGACAGGCCGTTTTGAGAGATACATATAAAAAGTATTTCTGGGACATACATTCTCTTCCATTTTTACTACAAGTATATTCACTTGGATAATAATTTAAATATATTATAAAGGAATAAAACAGCCGAATGATTATTTCCATATGTTTATAAAATGATAGTTGCATTTGATCAAACGATTAGAAAATGAATCACAAATGTCAGAAATACAAATGAGCCGTGTCATGACAAAACCAACATAATGGGTTTGCGACCAGTATGGATCCAGACCAGCCTGCGCATCCGCGCAGTCTGATCAGGATCCATGCTGTTCGCTTACAAACCCTATAACAAGTAGAGAAACTGATAGCGAACAGCATGGATCCTGATCAGACTGCGCGGATGCGCAGGCTGGTCTGGATACATGCTGGTCGCAAACCCATTATGTTGGTTTTGTCGTGACGCGGCTCAATTATTAATTCTTTTTGTTTCTGTCTTAGTTAATGACATTGGTTAACCTAAACACAAAATAGGGACAAAAACTTGGACAGTAGATAATAGTACTTCACATACAGACATTATTTACGACAGAGGTGAACTGGTTGCACATAGATATAATACAATAAGTAATAATTGAAACCAGTTGGAACTTTGATAAAAAAAAGCTATAAAATACACCAGTAGGAACATTATCTGTGGCGTATGAAAGTGCAGATTCGATTAATTTATTTATCACAGAAGTTTTAGTTTATTCATAATTTATTTCAGATCGATTGTATAAGCTTGTTGACACTCTCTCCAATCGGTTGCTGGAACAAACCAGCTCTGAGCAATGAGTATAAAGTTTCGTGCCCATGGAAACAAGGCTTTGCCTCTGACGGGGTTTCAAACAATATATGAGCCGCGTCACGACAAAACCAACATAATGGGTTTGCGACAAGCATGGATCCAGACCAGCCTGCGCATCCGCGCAGTCTGATCAGGATCCATCAGTTTCTCTACTTGTAATAGGGTTTGTAAGCGAACAGCATGGATCCTGATCAGACTGCGCGGATGCGCAGGCTGGTCTGGATCCATGCTGGTCGCAAACCCATTATGTTGGTTTTGTCATGACGCGGCTCATATAACTCTTACCATTTAAAAATGATGAACCTGTTAAAGTCAAGTCAATGTCATATTGATGGAACTGACAGAATGTTGAATGATAATAGAGAGTATGTTTTGTTAGTAAAGTAGGATGAAGAAGATGTGTATAAAAAAGAAAAAGAAAGATCATTTTTCACTGAAGACTTTAAAACAACCGGAGCAGTCTCTTCCATATATTGGAATAGCACGGCAAACTTCTTTGTAAAGATACGTTAATATTATTCTTTCATAAATGTTTCATAGTACGTATATATGCAATTTTTGTAATTAAATCACGAAAGTTCGGCGTTTTTGTGTATCTTTAAAACAATAACACTGGGAATTTGCTATCGTTTTTAACATTTAGATTATTTTGAAGCTTTGTTCTAAATTTGATATTACCGTGTTAAGATAAAATACATGATTGAGATTATCTAAATAAAATAAAACAACAAGTAAAATATATAAAACCAAACTTACCTTTTTCAAATATAATTACCTTTTGTTCTGAACAGTCCCTTCAATGTAAACACTCTCAAATAATCTAAGAAGCGTATAAAGGAATAACAAGAGCTGCCCGCAAGACTTTGCGCTCGACTATTCTAAGTGTTTATTAGTCAGAAAAGGGGCATAACTCTCTAAAATGGTAACTCAGAGTTTTGGTACCTAAGTCCACCATGACCGATCATCATAGAGAAAATGTATGTGACGTTTCAACCCATTCCCTTTCGTAGTTTTGGAGATACCATGTTAACCAAAGGGTGACGCAGACACCGGGTTGGGTACAATAGCGCTCCCGATTTTCTAGTAGAGCTAAAGATTCCGAAAATCGAGCAAATTTGAATTTTTATTTCACACAAACAAACATGTATAAAGATTTGTATTTGAATTCTTCAGATATTTCATGTACATTTTTTCCATGAAGTCTATGATAAAAAGTAGTTTGTATTGTAAATATGTTAAGAGATTCCTTATCTTATAGTTCAGTGTAACTTTAAATGGGACATAATTTGCAAAATATGAGACAATTAAGCTGAACAACTGTTGAAGAATACATACAAGATATTATGAGGACAGAAATAATCACATTTTCGGTATGTTTTAGATAATTGATATATTAATTACATTTTCTTATTAAAAAACGTGATAGATTTCGTTTGTAAAAAGTCATTCAAACTAATGCACGTATGTACGTATACTTATTTCATAATTATTTAAAGATATACTCGTGGCCGAGTGGTTAAGGTCGCTGACTTGAGATCACAGGTCCCTCACCGCTGTAGGTTCGATCCTCACTCGGGGTCGAAATCTTTCATGTGAGGAAGCCATCCAGCTGGCTTACGGAAGGTCGGTGGTTCTACCCAGGTGCCCGCTCGTGCCTGAGATAATGCCCGAAGGGGCACCTGTTGTCTTCCTCCACCAATAAAGCTGGAAAAAATCGACGAAAAAAATCTCGGCGGGACGCTCTAGGATGGCCCGACTTGAGAGTACGGTCGCCCATATGGGCTTTCCGGCGGCGACCTTAAATAAACGCATTAAAAAAACAATAGTGTTCAAAATATAACAAATCTACTTTGTTTGAAAACAAAATGGTGTACATTTACAAACAGACTGTTTAGCAATCGATTTATTCAGTTGAAAGTATACCAAATAAACGATTTTTATTCGCATGGCCATAATCAAACTTCATTGAAATTTTACCTTCGACTCAAAAGGTATAATTTAAAAATACAATGTAAGTGAAACATAAAAACAAAAGCGGGATTGATGTGTTAAATCAATTTGATAAAAGATATCCCATTTGATAAATGACTAGCTAATCTAACAGGACAAAAAGAAAAGAATAAGACAAGCTGGAAAGCAGTTGTGAAATGAAATGAAACGTGCCACTGGCATTGTCGGCGCACAAATGCTAACAGTATATATCTTGGCCTGGAACCAATTTTATCAATCTCAAAACTGCTGCCTTCTGAAGCTTGATCCTAAAACTCCCCAATGATCAAACCATACGATTTCATTTTTCCTAAATCAGTGGTGTAAAGTAATCAGTACATAATAATTACTTTTATCAACAGCTGGTGTGTCTGGTTGGGTGTGTGTACAGTGCAGCACACACGACAAAATATCCACGGACAACGATACCTTACTATGCACATTCCGAATCAAGCCAGATCCGTTTCGCATACGATCAGGTTTTGGTAAGTATATAATATATACCTTATCTGCACTATCTTAAACGAGATTTATCACTATCTGGCATGTATATCTCATATAAAAAGATATCAACGAATTTAAGAACGATGGAAAATATGTGCTTGAAGTACATGTAAATTGTACATGTTTTATGGTATATTCGTTGACGAAATTATGTGCAATCTTTAATAGATTTAGAAGTTGGCATTTAGCTTATACAAATTTATTTTAGATTGCTCGAGGCCGTTCCTGGAACCAATGAATGTATACTAGTAGTTACTTGCTCAAGGCTTGCCCCCGACAGGGTTTGAACCCACACGGCCAGCAATCCTTAGATAAAAAGTTGGCATTTATGTCTGTGCTTTGTAATTTAATTCTTACTAAGTACTTATACTTAAAATTATGTGTTTTTATTTTATGCTTTTCAGTGGATTACTGATTTATCCGTGAAATTTATATTTGATAATTTCACAGTGAAAATTATCAAAATATAATTTCACTTTTTTCAATGACGAAACTACTTTTTTAAGATTTTCCCCATGTGGTACCTCAATTTTATTTTTACTGACAATTCTGACAATATCAGGCTGTTAAAAAAATAGCAAAGCTGAAATAGATAAATAACTTAAATGTCAAAAGTAATAAAGAGAGAAAACTGACTTCTATTCCTTCAAATTCCAATCACAAAATTTAGTCTCTAAATTTTTTTGTTTCGTTTTTACAGTCTGAAAAATACATTCCTTCCCCATGCTAAACTGCTCTTGATGACATTTGGGCATATTAAAGTATCCTACGAGCAATAACTGCCGTATGCTTTATGAAAAATTGGAAAGCATTGACAGCCATCACTCGTAAAATAAGTAAAGCAACCCAGCGTTCCTTACAATGCCTTAGCAAGCTTCCAAGTTTTCCATTTTCCTAGCTCCTTTTTCTGAATGTTTTCACTTCTGTCAACACTTATTTTTTTGTCTGTTACAATCCTCAATAAGTTTTCTTTCTTTAAAAAGGTGTATGACTAACAAATCCAAATTATATCCTTCTGAATCTTACACAATTATTTTCCTCCCGTGAAATACACAACTTTAAAAAATGGCTGCCGCTTACATTTTACAAAGCCAGGTCTAATATAAATTCGCAGTAAGTAACAGAAATATAGATGGATGGTTGGACTTTTTCTCCTACAAGAATTGTTTGCTTTTATTATTAAAACAAGCGATCATTCATATTTTTTTAATAAAATGAATAAATATCACCGTCATTTAACCTTGATTGGCGGACTTATTTTTCAGCTCAAGACTTCTTGTTTTTAATGAGAAATTCCCTCTAAATGGGGCTCTCAATGGGGGAAACAGATTTGGAAATTTCGTTCTAACTTGTTTTAAAGCATAAAATAAAAAGAAAATTTGTCTGTTTGTTGTGTAAGATGTAATTTTATTTCATAAAATTTCATCTTACACACAAACAAACAAATATCCTCTATGTCATTAATGAGATGTATAATTTTTAATTAACTTTCTTTCCGTTCATTTGCTCTTCTTGTTATTTCGTTGTTTTTTTTGTTTTGTTTTTTTTGTTGTTGTTTTTCTTTTGTTGTTTTTTTTTCTAGCGGGATGTGTCTATTTAAGGCAGACGGAATATTGTATTTAGTCATATAACACAGTATACATGTATTTAACATAATTTCAGCACCAACTGATTGCTATCACCGGAAGCACGTGCTTTTTGGCGCCATTAAATCGCGATGAACGCGATCATATACACTCATCTACAGGAATGACGGAACTAGAGGTGACTTCTAATTGCCCGTTATTTTCATATTGTAAAAACTTTCAATTCACTTTAAAACAATTTTACATAATTATGTTCATAATTTTTTTTTATTTAAAAATTTGGAATAATGTGAATAACCAATTCACTTTTAAACAATTTTACATAATTATGTTATTATTTTTTTTAATTAAAGAATTTGGAATACTGTGAATATCAGTTTACTATAGATTCACGAATGCAGAATTTTACATTAACTCTTACCATGTTAAATATATCAAATAGACGTGACGATCTTTCAACTTGAGAACATATATATTTCATTCGCACGATGAGTGCAGTTCAAGGACACCATTACCCGTGGGTTCTGAAGATGCTTGAGAAAGACCAGTTACATGTATCATTTTCAGAGAAAATAAAAAAAAATGTTCTGACTGAATAACGAACAATTCAGACCATGCTTGTTGATCATGGTCTGCACTGCTAAGGTAGGGATTGTTGTCGACATCAGGATAATAGTTGAACATAAGAAAGTCGGCTTGCCGATTTCAAACTGATTTGAAAATCTGACAGCCAATAGTTTTAAAGTACATTTTACAAAGCAAATGTCTAATGATTAAAACAATATGAATTTCATTGTTGAACTTTGACCATTATGTTGTAGATCTAGAAAATGCGGTATGATATAAGAAATAGCAGAGAGAGTACTTCGGACCTAAAAAAATTATAGTAACCTCCCAATAAGCCCCAAACAGTGAACAGACCTCAGCCAATTACCCACGGTATATATCCCGATGCCTCCGGCTTTGGACCGTTCAATGTTTGCGTACTGATTGTTCGGCCATTATAATGCTATGAGGCCCTCAGTGCTATGTACTTTTTCTGAATTTTGTATATCTATAACTCACAGGAGAAAATGATGAAAGACTGGATCGGAAAACTTGCTGAAACAAAGATCTACCATGACGACACTCATTTACCGGAAACAACCCTACACTGGTGCGCGCGCAGAGACATCTATCTCTTAGAAAGAAACATGAATGTTATGACGTCACCACACTCAGTACTTGGATAGGAACATGTTCTTTTAAATTGGACTTTGAAGTTCGTTTTAAAAACAACATGTACTTATAAATAAATAAATCGCATCGAAAAAGTGCCAAATTGGAACTTTAATATTCCCTCATAGAGTTTTATTAGGTTTAGGACATTGTATAGACATTAGGTTTAGTTTAGGTTTAGGAACACATAAGGGAAAGTTTAGGGTTAGTGTAAGAAGTCAGTAGTACCTCACGCTGTTAGATAAATCCTCTTCCGCGGCAGACATTTGAATGTGTACTTCTTGACCTTTAACAAACATTGACCTTGATGTTGTGCCATGTATATATTATATGCATTTTTTAGTGTCATGAATGTAATTATTTGTGTCAAGCTATTTAAAATATTCTATAAAGTCAAAAAGTTATGGAGAACATTTGACCTTGACCTTGGGGTAGCAACCTGGATGTTGGGTTCTGCATATCATGTCATAATGGTGATTATTTCAAAAAAAATCAGCGGTTTAAGAGTTATGGAACGGACACGAAATGTAGACTTTTTAGCACTTGACCTTAAAGTGTGATTTTGACCATGGGGATAGCGACCCAACTATTGCGCTCTGCAGATCTCATGATGGTGATCACTTGTGCCAAGTTATTTCAAAAAAATTTCAGCGGTTTAAAAGTAATCGAGCGGACACGAATTGTAGATATTATTTTAATACTTGACATTTAAGTGTGTCCTTGACCTTGGGGGCTACGGACGGACATGAATGGAAAGACGGACGGACGGACTGACAGACCGAGGCCATTCCTATAATCCCCTTTCCGCTATGCGGAAGGAGATTAATAAATTGGAATGCATGACTCCAGACCTCCCTAGAAATCGAACTTCACAAGCTACTGTATAAAAATGACAAGAGCTGTCAGTAGGGTAGCGTGTTCGACTACTCATAGTGCTTCATAGTAAAACAAGAGCTGTCGATAGGACATCGTGCTCGACTTTTTTCAGTGATTGATAAAAAACAAGAGCCTGGATAATGTAGAATTTTATTATTTCAAAAAGGGCCATAATTATGTCAAAATCTATTTTAGAGCTATAGGCCTTGGACAGTGACGGATAAAAAATGTGTGAAATTTCAACTACAGTCGAACTTCGTTCGCTCGAACTCGGAGGGCCTGTGCATTCTTTATTGACATGCATATTTGTTATTTTCTTTTTATAGTTACCATAAACGGCAAATCAACAATTTTATCATAACAAACAAATCGGTTACAACACCTCATATTTTGTATCAATTAACCTTTTAATTACCTTTTTTCAGATCCCCAAGGGTTAAAAACATTGTCCCCCCGGGGACGCCATTTTCTTTTTGGGTTTCGGGGGAAAAAGGTGTGATTTTCACTATTTCGCCAAAGGGGACCAGAGATCAGGTTCAATTTCGAGCATGTGTTGACATCCAAAGTAAAAATATATTATTATAAAAAGGAATTTTTGCCACTGGGCAAGATTGGCCCGAAGGGGATTATTGGCTCGAAATTGGGAAAATTTAACTTAATTTATTTTTAGTTTACCAACTTGCCACAAAATTAACCGAAATTACGGCCCCGACCCCTGGGTGTGTAAAATATCTTTTAAATCTCCCAATTTTAAAAGAAGAAAAACTTTAATTAACATAAGGTCTACAGAATATAACCATTTTAAAATTAGTATTGTCTGACATTCAAATTTGTGTACGTTGGTTTCTTGTTCACGGTTGGTATTGAACTGTCCACCTTGTGATGATCTTTTTAACCCTTGGAAATTTTTTCTCCGAAAGACATTCTAGCACCAGCATCCTGTTTAAACCATTTTTCCGCCAGAATCCTACATATATATAAAAAGAATACTATTCCGTGAAAACTGTATTGTATTTTCACTCATAAGCATAAGCATGTAATAAACATAGTCATCACAGTCATTTCATTTGATCAAGTTCGTCTTGTTGACGGAAAACCTAAGGATTTTTTTCTTAGTTAGTATCAAATTTATACAGATGTTGGATTTTTCTTAACAAACAAGCTGCCTGAAGACGGTTCAAGACTATTTCATGATTATTAACATGATCACATAATTCAACAATTCACACAAAGTTGTAAAAATCTGTTTATTTAGGACAAGAAACCTTATCCACTGGGTCACGGGAATCCCTACAAAGCTTGTCCAAAGTATCTTGCATTTCAAACAAGTTTTATGGCACTATTCTTAAAACACTTTCTCGTAGGATTTATTCGTTGCGTTCCTAAATCCTTAAGTAGACAAAAACGTATATACTCCCCATATATGTCTTTACTTTCATTTCTCAAAAGCTTTTTTGTGTCCTGTTAAAGTTTCCAGGCCAATTACCAGAACTATCTTTTGCTTCTATTGTATTCCGACAATTAGTGAAAATGAAGTGATTTAGTACCTGAATTATTAACGGAAGGCAAAATACTACTTTGTTTACATTACAAGCAATAATACATTCAGCGCTACTTTCTTCATGTGTTAAAGATCTAAATTGCTCTAAACAATTATTTTAACGCTATACTTTTATACATATATACATTTATTCATTGTTTTAGGCATAATGTGCCTTTAACGCTTGGGTTTTTTACCATTATACTAGACTGGGAATTATACAAATATTTCTTGGTGAGCTAAAACAATGCACATTGATCATAGGGATACAAATTACAACTTACATTTGTCATTTTTTATAATTAATGTTTTATACATGTAAAATCTTGCTTTTATGCTTGTGTAACCATCCCAAACTTATAGTCTCTTTTAGTTACAGTGCCAGCATCCATTGCAACATTATATCCCCCAGAAAATAGCAATATTCATTGAAAAGCAACATTATCCATTTAAAAAAAAACATTATCCACTGAAAATTAAATTATATTCATTGAAAATAACATTATCCACTGAAAATTAAATTATATTCATTGAAAATAACATTATCCACTGAAAATTAAATTATATTCATTGAAAATAACATTATCCACTGAAAATTAAATTATATTCATTGAAAATAACATTATCCACTGAAAATTAAATTATATCCACTGAAAATAGCATTATCCACTGAAACTAGCATTATCCATTAAAAACATCATTATCCACTGAAAATAACATTATTCATTGAAAATAACATTATTCATTGAAAATAACATTATTCATTGAAAATAACATATTTAAATGTAATCAAAACCCTTTGATTTTAAAAACAATTTCAAAGGAAAGGGAAAGTATTTTTAGGAAAATTTGTTATTAATATGGGAAAATTAGTAAAAAAAGGTAAAAATTAAAAAATTTAAATTTTTTCTTTAATTGGGTTTTGTCCCTATTTTTTGTCTTGGGGCAATATTAAATCTCTTTATAGGAAATCTTGTAAAAGTATTGTTTAAAATGGGCCGGGAAAAATTCATACTTTACCCCGGGACTCTGAAACAGAGAAAAACATTTTTGTTGGGGGTGTAATGCACTTTTTTTAAAAATAAAAAAAATTTTTTAGAAAAGGCAAAAAAGAGTTTTTTTTATGAAAATATTGGTTGAAGAGCAGTTAGATTATTTTCCTGATGAAGGTGTGCTGAATGTAATAACCTGTCATAAAGAGGGAAAATATTATTATAATAATTGATTTTGTCTAATTGACAAAAGGGAAAAAAAGCAAAAGATGGTTGTAAATTGGGCCTTTTTTGTAAATTTTTTTTGAAACATAAAGGGGAAAACCCGAAAAAAAAAAAAAGTTTTTAGAAAAACAGGCTTACTTTGACATGAAGGCCTTTTAAAAAAATTTAGTTAATAACAGAGCGAAACATAAATTCTCTAAGTATTTTGTCATTTACCTTTGTGTTTCAAATGGTACAGCAGTCGTCCTGTGTACAATTCTACTGTTTAAGATGTTCGGATGAAATTTTGGTGTCCAAATTCGCTTGTTAGGTGTCCTTGCATGATGTATGTTTGCTATTTTGACCGAGGAATGGTGTGGATTTCTACTTTCGTGTGTCGTTACGGGTCTTGAGCGTAGATCTGTAAAACAAATCAAAAACGTTAAACTAATGTCTCATTATGAATAATAATTATCGATATCATTTTTTTACATTTATTTTTTGACAATGCATCATTTCATAAAAAATATAGAAAAATCAAGGGTAAGACAAGTTATATCACATATACGGTCATTATTGGTGTTATTTTGTGTTGGTCTTATTTTGAATTTTTGTGTTGGTCTTATTCCGTGTTTTGTGTTGTTGGCCTTATATTGTGTTGTCTTTTTTTGTGTTGTCTTGTTTTGTGTTGTTGGTCTTATCTTGTGTTGTTTTATTTTGTGTTTTTGTGTTGGTCTTATTCCGTGTTTTGTGTTGTTGGTCTTATCTTTAGTTGTCTTATTTTGTGTTAGTCTTATTTCGTGTTTTGTGTTGTTGGTCTTACCTTATGTTGTCTTGTTTTGCCATCATTGACGCGTTGTAATAAAATAAATGAAAATAGACAAATGATCATATAACATTTGACATTTAAAGGAACTTGACCTTTGACTTCCAATAACTGTATGGTTACTATATCAGTGAGTGTTACATGAATATTAGTAACAAACACCTTCTTTTATTCTCAGTATGCCAATTTGTTCAAGAAGCATCCAAGAATATGAATTACAAGACACGTCAAGCAATCTACTATCTTACATCCGTGTGTTACCATCACAATTCTTACTTTCAAATTGGCCTTTGCCCGTGACACGTCATCTAAATGTGCCACAAAGGTATGCCAAGTTGTTTTTAAAATCCATGATTGTTGACTGGACAGGAACATCTATGCAATTTAGTGAAAAGTTTCCTTTTAAGTCAAGTGGAACCTTGATTTTCTAGCTAATCGGTGACACTTCAGCTAAGTGAGCCAAACATTTAAGCATAATCATTTCTTAAATCCATCCATGAATGACAAACGCGTAATCATCATGTCAAAAAAAATCTTAGAAGTCAAAAAGTGACCTTGACCTTTAAGCTACAGACATGTATCTTGCAAAACTATATGCCTCCTCCTCCATTTTGTTGCCAGGGAGCATAAAGAATTAGTTCAAATGTGCCGTAAGAAAGATAATCCAGACAGGGGTGTACAATTCGGGCGGGGTGGGGTACCGGTTCCAATACATTAAAACGTCTATAAAAATAAATTCAAAAAATTATAAATACGTGTGTAGTCCAATAATTAATATATATCTTCTAACAGTGTTTTTTTCTCTACTTTGGGAATGGTGCCGGTACCAGACTGATTGGGACAAAATGCGTTATTTTGACCTAAATTGGGAATTTTTCTTTATGCATTCTTTCAGCTACAAATAAGATTAGTCATCATGAATAAAGATAGCTAACAGCCTCCACTGTCCAGGTAGAACTTTTGAGTGGTGATTTATATGAATATGTTGGATTTAAATGATTTCAGAGAAATCAGTTGGCCTTGTGGGAATTTGAACAGCCATTTTGGGAATTTAAACATTGGAAATTGGGAAATTTAATGTCTATTTTCTATTGGGAACAGTACCGTTTTAGGGTAGTAGTTATATAAAGAAAAAAATCACTGGTCTAATATACACCCTATATGATCATTTACTGACTCATGTAGCCAGACATATCTTCTGAATTGTGCAAATAAACAGCCATATTTTTCTGTTCACCAGTACACTAGCACTGTGTAGTTTCATGTACACAATTTTCCCACAAGTGTTTTTGACAATGTAAATTATTACTTAACTGAAACAAACTGAAAATAAGCAAAATGAAAATTATTTTCATCTGTCCATATAAACATTATACAGACAGCAAAAAAAAATGTGCATTACATCCAAAAATAAAGAAATGTTTATGATGTTATCTGCATGGTTATGAGAAAGAAACATGTTGAACATTGGCATAATTTAAGATAATTTTAAAATACATAATATAAACTACACCTACCTTTCCCGTTTGAAAGAATCAAAAAAGACATAACCAGGAGAGTTAGTATATACAGTGAAGACATTTTCGTGGTAAATGTACTCCTTGTATATTTCTTCAGCCCACGTGAAAATCGTGCAGCTTTCGTTGAAGGGAGATAAATCTATGTAAAGAAACTGCCTGCAGACGATTTAAGATCATATCATCATGCATGGCTGGTTGCGCCGCCTACCCAAACTCCCCACACCCATAACCTTTAAATTTTGATAAAAAAATCATTATAATACTATATTCAACACAAAATGATGTCACGAAAATAAACGATTCGGATCATATCAAAGTCCCTTTTTATTGTTGTCTTTAACCTATTTTAATATTTATGAAATTATAATAACATATAAATGTATCACACAATTATGGAACAGAATTAGTGCATTTATTCCACCCTGCTTGATGATATTTGGACTTACATTACGCTTGCTTCCATACTTCTTTATGACAATGGAAACCTACGTATTGCTGAATACAGTCATGCCTTATGATTACTGAATGCACTCTCGTGTAATCGCAACTTCATGTGTTCCTTTCTGAACCATTAAACTCACATATTTTAATATGCTATATGTTTAATTGCATCTTTTTTAAGGACAGCTTATAATGTTCGGTGTTTAAGATAACATTCTTTGCTTGTTCTTGATATAACTAGATGTAAAATGGTAACCCAATAATTTATAAAAACAATGACTTATAAAAGCAATAACTTTAATATAGACATAAAATTCACAGCCCTGTTTTAATTTTACAAACCATGAATCAACAATTAAGTGCTCCCACTGAGATTTGAACTCAGAACTCCTCTTATGTATGTGATACAATAAAAGAGGCATTTTTAAAATTAAACTACAAGAGCTTAAAACTTACTAACCATGGCTTGTTATTTAAAAGATTAACATTCTTCCTACTTTTTTGCATCTATATATAGTTTTTAAATAGCCAAATATAGGTAAGGGTCAAATATAGGTCTATTTAAAAAAAAACTGGCCAAAATTCACAATTTTATCCTAAAAATTCCTTACTTTTATAAAGGATTTTTCAGAATCATTTCAACTATTTAGCACATAAGAATTTTTTTAAAATGCACGCTTAAAATGTTTTTTTATCATCCGGATTACATATTTCTAAAAGATTTTGTAAAATATTGACAATTTTCTATTCCTTATGGTTCTTATTTTACCAATCTAAGGCATGTGCTGTTATGATGAATGAAAAAACAACACTAAATTGAATTATCAACAGGAATAAATTCTGTCATGTATGTAAATTTTGCTTCTATAGGAGATGCAAGTAAATAACTGCATACATTGTGTTAAAATGTAACACATTCGAGAAATTTTACGGAACTAAATTTCAACATTGGTACTGTGACATCATATGATGACGTCATGAAAAAGAACGCATGACGTTACGCGGCAAAACAAGTAAAAAAGACTAAAAATCACTAAAAAAGACTGTTTGACATTTTTGCTTGTATGATAAGAACTACTTTTTTACTGTGCACAGGCCAAAACTTTCAAAAACACATCACAATTTAACTCTGTTCTTATAAAAAATCGATAACAGGATAAATAGATTGATTGGTGCTATGGATGGAGAACTTAAACTATCTGGCCAAAGGCTCACCAAAAAAAATCCTCCGCCTCGCTAGATCCAAGGCAACAACCTATTAACTTCAGATATCAGGAAAATGGCGAACATGCAATCAAAAATGTAAAAAAATATAGTTTGTTTGTTTTTGGGTTTTACGTCACATCGACACAGTATAGGTCATATCGCGACGTTCCAGCTTTACTGGTGGAGGAAGACCTCAGGTGCCCTTCCGTACATTATTTCAGGCACGAACGGGCACCTGAGTAGAACCACCGACGTTCCGTAAGCTAGCTGGATAGCTTCCTCATATGAAAAAATCCAAAGTCCCTGTCGGGATTCGAACCCACAGCGGTGAGGGGCAAGTGGTTTGAAGTCAACGACCTTAACCACCCGGCCAAGGACGCCCCCCCCCCCCCAAAAAAAAAAAAAAAAAAAAAAATTTAGTGATATGTAAAATAACATTGATAATACAAATACAAGATTCATTTCTCCCCCTCTGCATTTAGCATGGCTTGGGACATGCTAGAAGTTAAAAGTGCACACATCCAGATATTTAAATTTCTTCAAAAATCAATCCAAATTTAGGAAAAGTAAAAAAAAAAGATATGCATACTTCTTCCATTCAATTCAAAATTAGCTTATTACAAATATTTAAAAATATTGTTATATTAATTCTACCCATTAACAAAATAATATTACGCAGGTACTAAATATTTTAATACATAATAGGAAATAAATAAAAGTCTTTCTTATGGCTTTGTAAATTTTATGAACTTCAAATCTAAATATTTAACTTAATTATGCAACATATAATTAATTTTATTTAAATATGAATCTGGAAGTGTGCTGTTTTACAACTAGGCAGCATTGGAAGAAGTGTAGCGATTGACCTTTTCGAAAACCTAGTTGCACATCATTTTCCAGTACTTTACATAATTATTAAGCTCTTGGGAATTACACCTAATGAAGTTTATCACATAAACCGCGGCACAGGAGTGTAATAAAGCCATGTAATAAAAACGATATTACACTAGTCTAAGAACACTTTGACGTGACGTCATTTGCGCTATATAGAAACATAGCGTTAAAGCGCGCTAATGTTAGCGTTACACTATAGACGCGTCATTGAAAAAAATACTCCTTTTAACAGTTTACTGTTCTTATTTTATATATGTGATAAATAGAATATTATATTCGTGCAGATTCAATACTAAATTTATTGAACTCGTTGAATAAAACAATATTATGCTCGCCAGAGGCTCGCATAATATGATTTTATTCAACTCGTTCAATAAATTTGAAATTTAACTACACTCATTCAATATCCTCTATATATAGACGATATTCAAGTTTTTCCTATAAATACATGATCTATTTTCATGGAGTGGTATGAAAATGAAAAATTTCACGAGTGGTGGTAGCTACGAGTGAAATATGATAATTTTCATACCAAAAGATTTCACCGTTTATCTATCGCAAATTTTACACATTTATTTGTTGATATTTAGAATTGAAATACGATATACAAATCAGTGATTTTATTGCTTGATAAAATAATTGTTTGTCATTAAGATGTGCATCATTATGTCACTCGGGCTATGACCTTGTGATATAATTCATCACAAACAGTGATTTTGTTTAGCTATAAAATCACTATTTGAGAAAATCACATTTTCTTTCATGGAATTATTAATAAAAAGATCTAACAATGAAATAATCATTTTATTTCACTTTAATCCCGAAAAGGCCAAAAACAAACAGATCGTTTCATTATTATACAACATTTCAAATTCCCGAGAGCTATACACAGAAAGTACCGGAAAATGGCGTTTAGCTAGTTTTTCAAATTATTAACCTTTGATTGAAGCTCTGAAGAATGGTAAGTCTGTCACTGTACAGGATATGGTTTAGATAGTCACGCGTTTTGGTTTTGCTACACATCCCCCACCATTCTATAATCAGAGCTTCAATATCCAATATCCATGTCTGACCAATAACCGGAGAAAGTTTTGGTCAAAGATTGGGCCTTCACGTTAATTATGCCAAGTAGTTAAAAAAGTTGATTGGTCAACTAGGGAAAGCCATGGCTTATGGTCATCAAATGAGGTAGGTGGTCAGGTTGGTAAGGACTTGCAGATTGATTAAGGTCCAGTCAAAGGTCAATATAAAATTGAGCTGAAATAGAAAAAAATCAATTAGAAAACTGCATTGTCTGCACTTCCACATCATGGTAGAACTATGAATGGGAGGAGCAGACAATCAACAATCATTGACTTTCTACAGTCAAGAAAAGCCAATTGTTTCATATCTATTTCATTTATATTTTCACATGTCTGATCTTTGCACCAACAAATTATTTTCCATTACATTATTCATTCATTTTTTATTTCGTTATGAACTTATTTCACTTTCAAATTTCATTCATAAATTCCTATATTATTGTTCTCCTTTTTTCATTTCTTTGAAGCCGATTCAATTTTTTGAAAATTCAAATTTCCATGCATTCCTTCCTTTTTCAATTAATTTTCATTCATTTTTCACTTTCACATTTCCTTTTGTTATTGCTGATCTCGTGTGATATGTAATAGAAAGAGCACCGAAACACGAGGCTATCTGATTTGTACGAGGGGGCGTAGCCCCCGAGTATAAATCAGATTGCCGAGTGTTTTTGGTGTTCTTTCTCTTTTGTATCGTAGTCAAACATAAAAACACGTTCCCTGTTGTCACAATTTTAAACCCCGGGAAAAAGTAACCAATGATCGAGCATCTGAATATGATATTTCTGCCGCTTTCCCTTTCTCTGCCGTCACAATATGTAAACCCCAGCAAAAATGAGCCAATCAACGGGCATGATCTGAAGTACCTGCACTCCAGTTACCGCACTGTGCATGTATATGTATACGATTTAACTCTGACACTTTTTCAACAGAAAGGTCCCCAAACTATGATACAATCATTTATATTTCATTCATATTTCAACAGATACTTTCCATTTTTCACTATCTTTCCATTTTTACTTTCAATTTTCTTCATTCAACTCTTCATAAATATCTATATCATTTACATTATTGTTCTCAATTTTTTTGAAAATTCAAATTTTCATGCATTCCTTCCTTATTCAATTTATTTTCATTCATTTTTCACTTTCACTTTTCCTATTTTGCTATTGCTGATTCAATTCATTTCTTTCATATTTCAACAGATACTTTCCATTTCATTTTTCACTAATTTTCACTGCAGTAAACTTCCATGTCCAGTTTTCATTAACGACTTCATGTCATCCACCAGGGATCATTTCACAATTTACAATGTTACTTTCAATGATGTTTACTCTTAACTTTCATATACACAATTTCAATGTCATCTAACATAGTATGTTGTTCATAATTGCATTCCCCTATTATAAATACAATATAACATATTTTTAATAATTTTACCTTTCTGTTCTGTACTTGCCTTGCCTTAACGAAACAACATTCCAATCTCATCACACATCCATCCATCAACACCATGTTTCATGCCATTCTTT